GTTTTAACATTTTGATAACAGCTGAGAACAAATTCAAAATAAACGGCCCTTAGCGCTGTTAAACTCAAGATACACAAGAGAGTGTCCGTCGAGGCTGTTAAAATTAAGCTACAAAAGAGAACAGCCGGTGTTATTACTAATTAACATAGGACAAACTGCAGCTGTTGTGCTGAAAATTTACATGTAAGAATATCAAATCTGAAAAAAGTAAATAAGAATAATTTGAAAACCTAAAATCTAAGTAACCGTGTGGCAGATTTGTAAGATGGAGAGAAACAAGATTCTATGTCTTCGTGTCGACAGATTTGCAATTGAGTACTGCAGGACGCAAAGCTGAACTGCAAGCAAGACTATTTGAACATTTTGGCATGGAAATAGAAGAAGAGGGTGATGATACGTCGGTTAATACAGCACCTTTGATGCAGAGTCCTGAAAGAGCTAGGTCGTGGCTTACACTGAAAGATGTTAAGGGTAGCGTGTATAAATTTGATGGGTCGAGTTCGAGAGATATTGAACAGTGGGCGAGTTAGAAGAATGCGCTAAAAAAGTACAGTGGAGCGAATTACAGTTATTTATCTATGCCAAACAGTTGCTTGAGGGTGCCGCTAAATCATTTATCCGTAGTCAGCTGGGTATTAGTAACTCGGAAGCGCTAAAGAACGCATTGAAAAATGAATTTGAGGTAAGATTGTCATCAGCATAAGTTCATAGACGTTTGGGAAAGCGACAGCAGAAAAAGGGCGAGACCTTGCTAGAATTTTTATATGCGTTGATGGAAATAGCAAAATCTATCGATCTCGAGGATGACAGTTTGATTGATTATTTTATAGAAGGCATACCGGATTCTAAAACTAACAAATCGCTATTGTATCAAGCTGGAACAATCAAACAGCTGAAAGCTCAGATGGAAACCTATCAGAAAGTTCGTGGTTCTTGCGCACCGCCCAGTAAACCTGGATCGACAATTGCAAAAAGAGAGCCTACCGTGGGTCAATACTTTCAAGCAAACAAATGCCGTAAATGTTTCAAATGTGGTGTCGACTCACATGTAATAAAGGACTGTCCCAAAAATACTTTTTCTTGTTTTAAATGCGGTAAGCCAGGACACCGTGCCGTGCAATGTAGTGGTGAGAGCCAATATAAACAAGAAAAATCGACGAATGTTGTCCGAGACGAAAAGAGGATGTTAAAGTTATTAAGCACATTCACTTCTTCTGGCTTAGAATTAAAAGATGTCGTTTGTGGCGCAGTGATTTGCAAAGGTTTAGTGGATACCGGAGCGGACCTGTGTCTTATGCGTAGGTGTGTCTATCGGAAGTTTGGAATCAGACAGTTAACCGGATGTTCTAAGACTCTAACGGGGATGGCTAACAGCCAAATTCTGACGTTTGGAAGCTTTGTAACACCCGTCAAGATTGATTACATTCAAATGGAAATAGAATTTCGAAGCAATTCTTGGCAGAACAATTTTGGATTATATTGACTTGCAAGTGACTAAAAAGGGGACTTTATTAAAACCGAAAGTTGATGTAGAAAATGAAATGATAAGCGCAGACAATAGTTCTTGTTTTGAACTGTTTCATGAGTTTGAAAGTATGTGCATGTTAGCTGTGGACCAAGAGGCGGTTACGATCGAATTAGATTTTTCACATTTGATTAAGTTGCAACAAAAAGAGGTTAAGCAACTAGTACATTCGTATAAACCAATCAGAAATCCAAGCTTTCCAATTGAGATGAAGATTCTTTTAACAGAGGAACTGCCAGTATTTCAGTATCCGAGACGTATAGCCGTGTGTGATCAGAAAATTGTTGATGAGCAAGTGAAAGAATGGCTAGCGGAGAAAATTATCAAGCCCAGCATGTCAGAGTACGCCTCACCAGTTGTTTTAGTGGCCAAAAAGAATGGCAAAAAGCGTTTGTGCTGCGACTACCGTAAGCTAAACGAAAAGGTGATTCGTGATAATTTTCCTATGCCTCAAATGGATACTGTAATTGAGAAGCTGGAAGGTGCGTCAATTTTCACTACACTAGATTTGACAAATGGATTTTTCCATGTACCAGTTAAAACGCTCGCAAAAATATACTTCATTTGTGACTCAAAATGGGCAGTATGAATTTTTATACGTGCCTTTCGGAATTTCAAACTCTCCAGCAGTGTTTACTAGATTTATAATGGCAGTTATGCGAGAATTAATCCAAAATAATGATGCGGTCGTTTATATGGACGACGCCATAATTCCGAGCAGCAATGTCGAAGAGGGCCTGGTGAAGCTTAAAAGAGTGTTGCAAGTTGCAGGAAAGAATGGTCTACGCATTGCATCGAGCAATTGAAAGCAGCTTTGACCAGTGGACCTGTATTAAAATTGTATAGTCCTAAGTTACAAACGGAAATTCACACGGATGCTAGCAAGTTTGGTTTTGGTGGAGTATTGTTGCAGAAAGACCCAGAAGACTGTTTGTTTCATCCTGTTCAGTATATGAGCCGTAAGACAAATGCAGCTGAAGAAAAGTACGATTCATACGAATTAGAAGTCCTTGCCGTCATGTCTGCTCTAATAAAATGGCGTGTGTACGTATTAGGCATAAAGTTTAAAATCATAACCGGTTGCAATGCGTTTACAATGACGATGAGGAAAAAAGAAGTGCCTTTGCGTGTAGCCAGATGGGCAATGTACTTGCAAGACTTCGACTATGAAATTGAGCATCGTTCGTGTTCTAAAATGTTGACGCCTTGAGTCGTGTTTCCTGGTATGTGTTGACCGATAGCTTGGTACATCGCTTAAAAGAAGCACAGTTAGGGGATGAATGGACAAAGATAAATCGCCAAATTGTTGAGGAAAAGGGGTATGAAGATTTTTACATTGAAAACAAAATCTTGTATCGGGAGTTAATTGTTGTGCCGTGTCAAATGGAAACGGAAATCATTCGTATTGCACACAAGCAGGGTCATTTTTCCGCTAAAAAGACTCAGGATCTCGTGCAGAAAAACTATTTTATACCATAACTAAAGGAGAAGGTGGCCCGAACTGTAGATAGTTGCATAGAATGCATTATTATGAATGCTAAAACTGGGAAAAAGGAAGGATTTCTGGCCCCGATAGATAAGGGAGACAGACCATTGTGTACTTATCATATCGATCACGTAGGGCCAATGGAGCTAATCAGCAAACGTTATAACCACATTCTAGTGGTGGTAGATGGGTTCTCCAAATTTGTGTGGTTGTACCCCACCCGCAGCACTGGTGTTAATGAAGCTTTAAGCTGCTTAGAAAGGCAATCCGTCCTGTTTGGAAATCCAGAGCGAATCGTTTCTGATAGAGGTACTGCATTTACGTCACATCTTTTGAAAGACTATTGCAAAAAACAAAGCATAGCGCATCTGCTTATAGCTACCGGATTACCGCGAGGAAATGGTCAGGTGGAGCGAATGAATAAAATAGTCGTACCAATGCTTTGTAAGTTAAGCTATGATAGTCCTGGCAGTTGGCATAAACATCTGGGAAGAGTTCAGCAAGTGATCAACCGGACTGCACACAGGAGCACAAAAGTATCCCCTTTCAATACTCTAACAGGTCTGGAAATGCGTATACCAGACGATCTAGAGTTAAATAAACTAGTGAAAGAAAGTTTGATCGACGAGTTGGAAGACGAACAAAGGGTAACGCGTGAGCAGGCGCGGGAAAATATCCAAAAGTTGCAAGATGAAAACAGAAGGCAATTTGATCTAAAAAGGAAAAAGGATATTCAGTACAAAATAAACGATTTAGTAGCTATAAAGCGCACTCAGGATTAAAATTAAAGGGAAAATTTTTGGGGTGGACGTTAAGAATCCTGGTAGATATGAAGTTGAGAAACTAGGCACTGGAGAAAGACCGTGTAAGACGACAACAGTTTCAGAGTATATGAAGTTGTGGGATTCCTTCGGGTCGAAAGACGTGTCAGGAGGGCTGAATGTGGGAACCCTAGAAGGCGAGAGACAGAGAACAACGCGCAGCGGTCGTTGTTTCTGATCGCTCTCTCTTCGCTCATTTGTAGCTTTGCAGTTTTGCGTCAAAGAGCTGACTGCGCAACGCGAAAAGAAAAGCAGACACTTTGCATTTAGGAGTTGACTGAAAAACTCGTCGTCCGTCGAATAGTTTAGTTTTAATTGTAACTAAAATCATCCCATAATAACTGAAAATAATATTAAACAATCATCTTATAATATTAAACATATTTGTAAAAGTTAATCAGTATGAAACAAATTATAATAAGAAACTTTGTAATTCTATAGTAATAAAGAATCTACATATATATTTTACTGTGTATATACATATCGCAGAACATGAGTCCGAGGGAACTAGGAACTAGGGTGTACTTAATATAATCTCCTTTGGGGCTTAAGCGGCGGTGACAATTTAAGGGAATTGTGGGGGGTCAAATCGGTAACTCCCGCAAAGGGAAGATTAAGATTAGGGTTGCGTGACAACAGCACGTCAAACCCAAAACAAAAATATGTTAGTAGTTATATATAAGACTTACCAGCAGCAACTACATACTGGGGACAGCCAAATACAGAAATGCACAAAGCACAATGTCCCAACTCAGTTGTTTGATACATAGCATGCACAAGTTTTTCCCGAGATGGTAACAGGTATTAGGAGTTCACATAAAAGTCAGTGATTAATCACAGATATTTTAGTAACAATCAAGAGAAATTCGCTTCGGGCGCAGCTTGAATCTTTTTGTCGTATTAACAATAAAAGTATTGGCTGTCACATTTAAAATCTCAAAACCAGGTATTTATCATCTAAAATTTAATATAATCTGCTTCTGAATGTGATATCGATACTCTTGACTTGTAAGTGCAAGTAAATGTGACGACAAATCGTAAAGAATAACCTTACGCAACAGCGTAATCATTATTTACTATACTAATCACTATTACGGACGGACTGGTGGATGAATCTGTTAGTACAAACAAATAATTTTGTATATAAATACTTTATTTAAATTTGTAACTAAGAACACAAGCAAGTATTTTCTAAATTAGATTTAATCCAAGGAATAAATTTACTTATACGTGTGTAAACGCCGGGATAACCTTCTCGTCCGCATCCAACACCCCACGATACAATACCTACTATAAAATATTTTACACCATTCGATAATAAAAGAGGTCCGCCACTATCCCCTTGACAAGAGTCCATATGAGGCCTTCCAGCACATAACATAGTTGACGTTATTCGTGAGCTTTTATATTTTTGAGTTCGGCATTCTGCAAGAGACATTATTGGGACTTTTACTTGATTAACGATTGAAGGTAGTTCTCCTCCTTCGGATGTACGGCCCCAACCAACGACAGTTCCTATACGTCCTAGAAGAAAAAAAACAAAATTTTGTAATATACATATGCTAGGCTGATTGGAATTCAGATTTCAATCGGGATTGCCTATAATTTTTCAGTATGTCACAATTACTATTTCAAAAACTTTCTTCCTCTCGCGTGCAACTTAAGAATATAGCCACAATTTCTTGGTTGAAAACATAATAGCTCACATTACAATCTCGCTTATATCAATAAAAATTGTTTAAAAGAAACGAAGATGCTCTAGTCGGGAAATCCCGATTAGTGAACTACAGGTCATAAACAGAATCGAAAAAGCACGAAATAAAACAAGTAAGAGCGCCTTCCCGACTATGGCAAGCCCTGAAAATTCTCCTACCCACATAATTGCAGCTCATTCTACGGACCCTTTTACTTTAGCAATAAACTAAATAAATGAAAAACAACTGACCTCATTTAAACTCGAGCCAGTAACCGACTGTACTAATTGCTCCCGCCTCTACACGCGGTTGCTGTTTCATTTTTGATGAAAAAAAAAGCGAAACAAAGCACAGAACACAATACAACTTTAATTGTAATGCCCTTTATAGTATTCAATATAGATGTGCGTACATGTATGTAAAAAGAAATTCTTGCAAATTGCCCTATCTGCCGCGAACACATGTCAATATAAGCACACCCTTTCTTTTATAACTTCTGCGTTTCTTTACCGATATTGATGAAATTTTCAGCAGAACTGATTGTGCTATAGAATATTCGCATATTCTCAGGGGCAATTGATTGTAATGTGGTTAACGTTTGTGAGTAGTTCCAATTGATTCATTTATTTGATTTATAGCTATGGGTGGTGAAAGATAAATTGATATTCATAGATTATCGATTATCGAAAGCGAGGTTCTGAGATCCCTTCAATCATACACGCGGAGTGACAGACAGACGGACATGGGTAGATCGACCCGTCAATTGATGTTGATCAAGAAAATATATATTGGGGTCGGATATTCTTTCTCTCACATGTTACATACATTTGCACAAAAACAAAATACCGGTTTTACCCATTTTTAGTGGATTCAGGCTATAAAATAAATTAAAACGAGAAAAAAAAGCTATCTTTGGCACGATGAAGATTTAATATCCTTGCAGACGCAACCTTTCTATAAGGCTCATGGGTGCATTCCCGTATCTTAGTAGCACAGGAAAAATAGTTACGATGTCTAAAAAAAAAACAAAAAAGTTTTTCATACAAAAACTAAAGATTCGACCGATCTTTTTTATGGCAACTATATGATATAGTGGCCCGAAGTCGATGGGATTCCGCGTATATAAATAAACCAATTCGGTTTTAACAATGAAAAGGTTTTAGTCGGGAGCTCCCGACTAGTGGATACCCCGAACCCTCTTCTTCCAACATCAAATGCATATATATATTCTATTTTAGAAGCTATATGTCATGTTTGGTGACTCTATCTCTTATTATTTACCAAAATTGACCAAAAAACAGGATATCGATATCGATTGCTTGGAAAGGGAGTAAGTTATCGATTATCGGAAACAAACTTGATCTGCGCATGGACATGGACATGCGCGGGAACTATGAGCATCTACATCTAAAATTTCAAGTCTCTAGCTCTTATAGGTTCTGAGATCCTTTGGCTCATACATACGGACGGACGGACAGACAGACGGACATGGCTAGATCGACTCGGCTATTGATGCTGATCAAGAATATATATACTCTATGGGGTCGGAGATGCTTCCTTCTGCCTGTTACATACATTTGGATTTTGCAAAAATACAACATACCCTTATACCCATTTTTAATAGGTTCAGGGTATAAAAAAAATTTACTTTCCCCAGTAGGGCTCGAGCTCGCGACAGACCGCACCACTTGCTATGCCTCTACTCAGCGGCCACACCAACAATTAACTACTTATGATAAAAAAGGAACTAAAATAACATTACAAAAACGAGAAAAAAAAGGCTATCTGCGGCACGCCAAAGATCTAATACCCTTGCAGACCCAACCTATTCATAATGCTTATTGTGCTTTGCCCGTATCTAAGAAGCACAGGGAAAATAGTTAATGCCGAATTTGGTCAAGATATCTTGATAAACAAAATGTTTTTTCATACAAAAACTTAATTTTCGACCGATCGTTCCTATGGCAGCTATATGATATAGTCGTCCGATCTTAATAGGATTTTGCATAGATATATGGGGAGCTTAATAAAACTAATAAATGCCGAGTTTGGTCAAAATATCTTGATAAACAAAATGTTATTTTATACAATAACTTAATTTTCGACCGATCGTTCCTATGGCAGCTATATGATATAGTGGTCCGATCTTAAAAGGATTTTGCATATACATGCGGACCTTAGTAAAACTAATAATTGCCGAGTTTGGTCAAGATATCTTGATAAACAAAATGTTTTTTCATACAAAAACTTAATTTTCGACCGACCGTTCCTATGGCAGCTATGCGATATAGTGGGCCGATCTTAATAGGATTTTGAGGACCTTAGTAAAACTAATAATTGCCGAGTTTGTTCAAGATATCTTGATAAACAAAATGTTTTTTCATACAAAAACTTAATTTTCGACCGATCGTTCCTATGGCAGCTATATGATATTGTGGTCAGATCTTAATAGGATTTTGCATATATATGAAGAACTTAGTAAAACTAATAAATGCCAAGTTTTGTCGAGATATCAAGATAAACAAAATATTTTTTCATACAAAAACTTAATTTTCGACCGATCGTTCCTATGGCAGCTATATGATATAGTGGTCCGATCCAGCTGGTTTTGACATATGTGCTGCGTGCAACAGAAATAGGGACTTCTGCAAAGTTTAATTATGATAGCTTTAAAACTGAGGGACTAGTTCGCATAGAAACAGACAGACGGACATGGCTACATCGACTCGGCTGTTGATGCTGATCAAGAATATATATGTGTCTGTTGCTGAACGAATTTCTTAAAAACTGGCTGGACGATTTTGTTGAGATAAAAAGCAAAATGATTGATAATTCGTGATCCTTATGTTAAGCTACCGTGTTGGGGCCATTATCGAAGAATTTTAAAATATGGTTAGATATATGCCAATTTTTTGTTATTTTTAATAAATTGCGTAGAATTGATGCGTGAAGCTTTCTTAAACATGTATCTTCAAGTTGGTATACCGTACATTGAGGGCCGTTATCCCTGAGAAAAGATATTAGGGTTCAAGTGCAGGTTAATCTTTTAAGGTTGCTGAACTGTTGTACAAATATCTTAAAAACGGGCTGATCGATTTTTATAATTTTTTCAAGATTGGTTTGGTGAAACTATAGGCTATAATCGTGTATATGCGGCTTTCGGGGCATTAAAATATTTAAAGAATGGAGGAAACCTAATTTGTCAACACCTTGGTTTACTCATATTATAAATTAAAATTCAAACACTAATGAATGCAGACAGTAAATAATTTAATTGTTTGCAATTCTGCATTTACATTTATAGATTCTGTGCTTAAAAACATAAATTAATGCATTTAAAAGTGTCCGATTCATTTTCCGATACCAAGTACCAAAGTTAGTTAGTTGTAGTTGCAAGCTTAAAATAACAGCCAAGTACACGCCAGTTACACAGATGTTAGCTTTGCATCCAGAACGAGAGGAACAGCCTGAGTACAGATCTGTTATACAGTACTCAGCTCTTCGTCAAGTACAAAAGAAACAGCCTGAGTACATCCCTGTGACACACAAATTTAGCCATCAACATTGATCCAGTCATTTGTTATATCGTCGTAGTAATCACTTAGTGAAATTTTCTATGTCAATCATTTAAGTGATCATCGACTAATATGGTATATGATGATTTTTGTCGCTGTTACTTTTGATAGGTGTTATAGCAGTAACTGGTTACTTTTAAATACTTGTTACTTGTAACAGGTTGAGTAAATATCGCTCATCCCTAATTCCTACTTGCAACTAAAATTTCTACGGAGCCAACCTCAGTACAAAACATGCATTCATATGTCAACACAAATTTTGGATAGGTCATGATCAGCGCTAGAAAGCTAACCAAATTAATTTCTTGTCAGCTAAAGGTAGAGCAGTGAATAACAACACATATATACTTATTTTGATGTACTTATGCATGCAAAATTCACGCATACAACCAAAGGTGCTTGCACGCCATTGGCTGAGAGCATACACTGTCCAAGAACAAAAGTAATTCAATCTAAGTACATATGTATGCATGTGTGCTATTTTCTTAACATAGTTATTGCACAAGATGCGCCTTGTGTAAAAATTATTAAATTTTACTGTAAAATTTATCGTTAGTATCTAGGATAAGATATCATATTAATAAAGCATGCATTTCATGGATAAAGCAGAAGTGCGTTGTGTCGATCGTGAGCTCTAAACTTTTTCGCTCAATGTACGTCGAAAACAAAGCGACGCAAAGCACAATAGACCAACTTTGCTGAAGGCAGGCTGGCGAATAACTTCGTTTTTTGTGTCAGCATCAGCAAGCCGCGACTTCGGTATTCGAACAGCAGTCGGCTGGCAAGTCGTGCAAAATCGTAAAAGCCAGTTTAGGAAGCCAGGCGTGAAATTTTTCGTCGCATGCAAATGTATGGGCGTTTCTCATCTTATTGTTTATATGGTCTATGTCTCTATCCAACATGAAATGTACGCCAACATAGCATCCTGTTTAGAGCTGTTCTCCAGTGACTTTTAGTTCAATAGCTCTAAACATTCTGAATGTATTACAAATGACAGCAGTCGAAGTTGAGGAACGAACTCATCGAGAAATTCAGGGTCCAAACACCTCTCGAAGAAATTCGTAGAAAACTGTATAACACGAATTACCAAGGAAACTCCAGTTAGCTTTTCTAGGATCTTCAAAACAAATATTTATTAATAATAAATAAGTTAGCCATAAAATGCAATCAAAATAACTTTACAATATATATAAATCCTATGCATAATACGGTCAATAATGAATGAGTCAATTAATGGAAATTACCAAAAATGTGT